CATGAAAACTTACCTTTCTGAATGTTATAGTCAGACAAAGTACGCCCATCCTCCAACTGCTTCCCAGCAAAAATCAACCTCTGCTGATCAGGGGGAATTCCTGTATTAGAAAAAATGTCAAACACCTTGAAGGGCTGACTGAAGGGTCATTTACACACTCAATATGCTTATAAATAATTAAAACTATATACAGTTAAACTTTGGCATCTTGAACACTGACATCTCGAATACCATGGATATGTCGAAGTCATTTTAAACTCCCAACTGCTTATTCATTAAGTATTCTACCCTAAATATCTCGAATCCTCAGATATCTCAACGTTTTTTCTTGGTTCCATTGAGTTCCGAGATTACAAGGTTTAACTGTACATATTTCTTATGTGGATTTTGTTTTTGGAAATTCATTTTACTTTCCTTCAAATCTATGTTGACTTTCTAGTTTAGATTTAGTTATTTATTTAGTTGATCTTATCTTTCTATGTTGACTTTATAGTTTTGATTTAGTTGATCTTCTTACCTTCCTTGTCCTGGATTTTAGCTTTGACATTTTCAATGGTGTCTGAGGGCTCCACCTCTAGGGTGATTGTTTTGCCCGTAAGGGTCTTAACGAAGATCTGCATGACAGCTTCAGTATCTGCTAAATAATGAAACACACATACTTAAACAAGTACTATGACTCAAATAATTTAATGAGTTAAGGCATATAATTTGAGTTCTTGATGCTCTTTTAAGGTAGGTGGGACAGAGCATCCTTCAATCACAGGAAGCAAAAGTCTCCTTTGGAAACCAGACTTTTATACACCGATATGGGATGAGAACCATTAGAACACATCATTGGTTTTTTTATAGCAACTTTTAAAATAAGCAGTTACCTTTGCTAGTACATAAAATACATAAAACCCTACAGTTTTCCAAAAATATAATATTTTAACTCTCTGTTCTTGACAATGGTCCTAAAGTGTGTTTTAAAATCATTAATCATTTAAATGTGTACTACAGGGTTCAAAATATACTTTTATTACCACAAGCAAACTTTAGCTAGTGGCAAAAGCATTTACTAGCAAATTGAAAATTCACTAGCAATTTTCAGAAATTATTTAATAATGGTAAATTCGAGCTCCAGCAAGAATCCAGTGAAAAAATATCTGCAGTGTTTTTTGTTTTTGTTTTTTTTTTTTTTGGGGGGGGGGGGGGGGGAAGGGGAAGGGGGAAGACTGGCTTGGGACCAAAGATTTGAAAATTTCAGTGTTGATTATTTAAAGCTAAATTGAGATTTCAAGAAAACCCCTGTCAAATGAGAAGCAATTTCAAATATTTGTATTACTTTGACAGACAACTCAAGAATATTTCAGGTATTATCTTATAACTTACATCAAGAACAATAGTGGTATGAATAATATAAAGAAGAAATCCAAAATGGCTGATCAACAAAACCTTGGGTTTACTGAGAAATGGGAAATAAAGAAACTGATTGTGATCACAAATGTAGTAAGATTATCATTGGGAAAACTTCCAATATATTTTGGGAAAATACAAGTTTATTCGGCCAAGATCATAACAAGCAGTCATTCAAACACTTTTAATTTGGACAGGTCAAACCCCAAACTGGAACTTATCAATAAATTTTGCCAATTTCTATCCAGAGTTGTCTGCTGCTATGCTAACAACACCTCTGTTTTAAATTCTGAAAACCTTGACATAATAGGTCTGGTACAGTCACTAGATTTAGCATTTTAGCTACACAGCTTGAATGAATGTTCTACATAGCTTTATTTACCTACCTGAAGTAGCTTTAAATCATACTTATTTCTTAAATGAGCATTATTTCAGGATGTGCAGAAAATCGCACTTTGAGGCAGTGATAATTTTCAACTTTGAACTGATATGAAAACAATTCATGAAAAAAAATCACTCTTCAAGATGTGTCTCTTTCAGCACAATTGCAAAGTTCTAAAAGTTTTGGGGCTTGTAAGTTATATATACAACAGTTAATTAATTTGTGACCAAACAGTTCCTTTTGAATGAAATAAAGAAAATCAGTTCAGCTTCACATGATAATTGAAATACATGTATTTAATAATACTTTCCATTTCCACCATGGAAGAGTTACAGAGCGCTCTTTTGTGAAAAAGTCAAAAAATGAACAAATCTTGCAGGATTTCTGGGACAATCGTAACAATATGTAAACAATATATGTTGAATGTCAATGAAAAAATGCCCAACAAACATGCAAATGAGACACTGTTACAGTATTGTTATAAACTTTACATGCATCAGAAGTTGAAACATGATATCAAGTTGTGTATATTATAAAAAGTTGTTGACAAGTGTTGACAGTCCATCTTGAAATACAATGTTCATGCCTCAGAAACATAATTTTTATCAATAGATGATAAATTCAGGGCTTTTACACTCTCAGATATGTCTTTTAGTTCTTCTACTCTTTAATGGGAATGACAAATACATTTAGCATATTCTAAATTGGATTGAGATCGGCATGTTTTGTATTCTCTGATACGTCATGTTGTCTCAGTCAGACTACCAAAAGTGCCTCTAGTTTGAAGATTTCCAGTAATGGAAATCGAAATAATTGACTGGTACGGTAATTATTCAGCACAATGTGAAGAATTAGGGATGTGCGATATGTATACCAGTATATTGTGATTTTTTATTGCACTATACGTATCTTGATACAGAGACTAAAATACCGGTATTCAGTATATATGCATTACAAATTCTGGAAATAATATAAAAATTTTTAAAAAGTGAAGTTATATGTTTTCACACTATATTTGCTAGAAAAAATATGGAAATTCATTTAAAATCAAAGGAAAAACTGTGTGAAAAATATAATGATACTTTTAGGAAAAAAATCATAATATATCACGATACAAAATTTTTGGCGATACCCATCCCTAGAACTAATCATACTTATCCATGCCTCACTGCACACAAGGTGGTGTACAGTAACTCAAACAATGGTAATACATCTTCTGCTAAAAAGTTAAGTTTCAAAAGCAGCAATGTTTAAATTATCTTTGCATTGGATTGCTCTTTTGAAACTCCCTTGTTTAAATAATAGTAGTGTGTTTTTGTCTATTAAAAATAAAAGGCAAAATTGTGAAAAGCTGCATTAAAATAGCTAAATAAAGGTACTTCAAGTAGCTTAATAAAGCTACGGTAAGTAATTCAAGCTATGTGGCTAAATCTAATGATTAACAGGTTGGGCACACCCCACCAAATGGTCATTTATCCCCCGTTTGGTGGACAATCTCCCATGTCGGAGACAACTTTTACTGACCAAATGGTGGACTTTTTTATTCTATTCCAAATTTTATTAAAATAAAGCAAAAGCGCATTTGCATAGGCATTGGGGAATTTTATTGAAAATATTCCTCGGAAAATTAACATAGTTCGGTCGAATTTCCATGTGCAATTTCTCCATAACTTCATAAAAATGATACCCATAGTTGTCCGTAACAGCTTAACTTCTTGATCAATCGATCAAAAAAAATTTTGATTGCGTCTAGTAGGATAAAAATTCTATTTTATCCAGTGGTTTAACTCTTGATAAGTTAACTTTCAATCGCTCTTTGGATCTTCGTCAATATTCATTTCCATAAAATCCCGTTAAACACGAGCTCCTCATTACTTTACTGGTACGGTGGGCACTCATTGCTATAAAGTTATATTTTTCTACACTTGAACATAATATCTGTTGTTATTTTTCTTTTATGATGAAGTTACATATTCCATGTGACCTCTTGTGGTTTAATATGTATATTACTGATAAATTTAATATATTTGATAAATAATTTTCAATAAGAGATTTACAAAGTGATATTTGCAATTATTCTTGTTTTTGTTCTAAGTACATCGTTTTAAAAACAATAATTATATCATAATCTAACTTAATTTACTATTTTTATAAAGAACAAGGCCATTACGTACAAAATAAAACGAAATAAAGGCGAAAACTTATTTTTTTTTTCTGATTTCCTAATTGAAAATTAACACAAACGTGCCTCCGTAGTTAAATCCGACTTTTGACCAGGTTAAAAAAAGATCATCGTTTTTATTGGTTTGAGTTATTTGATTGGTTGGCCGGATAATCGAAATTGAAAGTAAAGAACATGATTGACAGGTGTAGCATCGTTGGAGAAGGAGGGAATTTTCTTTTTAAGTAAAACTGAGAATCATTGCACTTGTTTACGTACGTGACGTTTTTTGTCAAATGTTTGAACGACTCTGCGCAAAAAATTGCACGTTGAATTTCCGATTTTTTTCACTCAGAACATCGATAAATATCTACATTTTATTCCACATGGTTTAAAATTATGCGCCATTCTACGCCATTCTATGGAATTGAACACAACCATTTTTCTCTCCCAAATGGTCAGTAAAATTCGTCTCCGATATGGGAGATTGTCCACCAAACGGGGGATAAATGACCATTTGGTGGGGTGTGCCCAACCTGATTAAGACCTGTTACTGAATCAGCCTTATCAAGTTTTAACTGTGTAGTGCCTGTGTTCTTTATTTTTGAAAGTCTACCTTCAACACCGTTAATAGTTCAAGCTAACACAATGTTGGTATTGAAATAAACTTTCAAGAGGCCTAATAATGCTTTAACTTCCCATTCATTAGCACGTGTATGGCAGCCATTACCTTCAATTTTTCGGAAAAGACCGAGTGAGGGCGCTCCTTTATAAAATATATAAACTTATACGGTTCATGTCAAACTAATTAATCCCGAGAATCACACTGAGATTATTTGGGTGAGATTTGTTTGACAGAGGGGTCCTGACAGAGCAAATGTTAGACGAATTTAAAAATCTTGAAAAATTAAAAGAAGGACATTTTTAAGCTACAAAATTTCAATATTATATTTATGAATATACCCGGAATTACTAACCGATCGGTACTTTCTTTCTTTTACAACTCTCATTGGATATCCGATGTTATGACACATGGTTCGAAAATTATTCGAGAATATTCAAAGTAAATACGGAGGGTTCGTTTTGTGAGTAGTAAATATCTAAATTAAGTACATGTATATGTAGCGAAATCATGAAATATTTAAGAGTTAGTATTTTTAGAAATGTACACACGTACAGGTTGGACAACATCGAGATTCACTTTTCAAAGTGGATGACTACAAGTTTGATATTTCAATCAGAGTACAAACAGATTTATTTTTTTCTTAACATATTTTTAAAATTGAATGTTTCATTAGGGACGAAATTGTTCTATTCACTATTCTAATCCCATCATTAATACACTGGACACGTGCACCTGCAATGTATACATAGCATTGACTTGTAACTTTTTAAATTATTTTTGTATGAAATTTAAAAATTATATTAGGATGAGACGGTGTAACAATTCTATGTAATGGTTTTGTACTAAGAACATTTAACAATAAGGGTTGTTAAATTACTTTATTTATGCCAAAGAAAAAATGTGTTTGTTTATTGGTGTACCCAACCAGCCCTAATTTTCTGCTTTTTTTTTCTGTGTAAAATCTTGAAAGTGTTTCTTTAAAATGTAAAAGTTTATATTATTATAAGCATGATAAGGTCTTTTTTAGTCCTATTTTTGGAGTTGTTGGGTAGATTTTATGGCTAGAAGAAGAGAGCTGCAAATTGTCTTTTAAAAAATTATAATTCAAAGTTATGCTTTTAATTAAAATAAAAATTACTTACCAACCCTACTTTTAACCTACCGACCCTACTTTTATTAGTCTAACATGTTATAGTAAACAAGCATTTTTTTTTGTTAGAGCTTATCTAGACTTGTTCCCCACTGTTCATCAATAGTTTCATCATGTCATCAGAAGCCACCAGCAAACCCTTGTATCGAGACATTAGCGCAGAGGATGAAGATCCAGAAATAGTGGAAATTGAAAGTTACTGTGTAAACTGTGAAAAGAATGTAAGTATTATTATTCCATTTCTTATAAATGACATGTTATGATTTCTCCTGTATTATGAAAGTTCATACTTTGATATTGCAGGGAATTACTCGGCTGTTTCTAACAAGGATCCCGTTCTTTAAAGATGTGGTTGTTTCCTCCTTTACATGTGATAACTGTGGTCTCCACAACACGGAGCTCCAGCCCGCAAATAAAATACAGGAGAAGGGAGTAAAATATGTCTGCACAATAAACAATATCAAGGTTAATTTCATCATTACATCCTATATCACAAGTTCTGTTTGTACAATAAACAATATCAAGGTTAATTTCACCATTATATCCTGTATCACAAGTCTGTCTGCACAATAAACAATATTAAGGTTAATTTCACCATTACATCCTATATCACAAGTCTGTCTGCACAATAAACAATAATAATATCACCATTATATCTTATATCACAAGTCTGTCTGTACAATGAACAATATCACCATTACATCCCATATCACAAGTCTGTCTGCACAATAAACAATATCACCATTACATCCCATATCACAAGTCTGTCTGTACAACAAACAATATCACCATTACATCCCATATCACAAGTCTGTCTGCACAACAAACAATATCACCATTACATCCCATATCACAAGTCTGTCTGCACAATAAACAATATCACCATTACATCCTTTATCACAAATCTGTCTGCACAACAAACAATATCACCATTACATCCCATATCACAAGTCTGTCTGCACAACAAATAATATCACCATTATATCTTGTACCACAAGTCTGTCTGTACAACAAACAATATCAGCATTATATCTTGTATCACAAGTCTGTCTGCACAACAAACAATATCACCATTATATCTTGTATCACAAGTCTGTCTGCACAACAAACAATATCACCATTACATCCCATATCACAAGTCTGTCTGTACAACAAACAATATCACCATTACATCCCATATCACAAGTCTGTCTGCACAATAAACAATATCACCATTACATCCCATATCACAAGTCTGTCTGCTCAACAAACAAAATCATCATTACATCCCATATCACAAGTCTGTCTGTACAACAAACAATATCACCATTACATCCAATATCACAAGTCTGTCTGTACAACAAACAATATCACCATTACATCCCATATCACAAGTCTGTCTGCACAACAAACAATATCACCATTACATCCCATATCACAAGTGTGTCTGCACAACAAACAATATCACCATTACATCCCATATCACAAGTCTGTCTGCACAATAAACAATATCACCATTACATCCTTTATCACAAATCTGTCTGCACAACAAACAATATCACCATTACATCCCATATCACAAGTCTGTCTGCACAACAAATAATATCACCATTATATCTTGTACCACAAGTCTGTCTGTACAACAAACAATATCAGCATTATATCTTGTATCACAAGTCTGTCTGCACAACAAACAATATCACCATTATATCTTGTATCACAAGTCTGTCTGCACAACAAACAATATCACCATTACATCCCATATCACAAGTCTGTCTGTACAACAAACAATATCACCATTACATCCCATATCACAAGTCTGTCTGCACAATAAACAATATCACCATTACATCCCATATCACAAGTCTGTCTGCTCAACAAACAAAATCATCATTACATCCCATATCACAAGTCTGTCTGTACAACAAACAATATCACCATTACATCCCATATCACAAGTCTGTCTGTACAACAAAGAATATCACCATTACATCCCATATCACAAGTCTGTCTGCACAACAAACAATATCACCATTACATCCCATATCACAAGTCTGTCTGTACAACAAACAATATCACCGTTATATCTTATATCACAAGTCTGTCTGCACAACAAACAATATCACCATTATATCTTGTATCATAAGTCTGTCTGTACAACAAACAATATCATCATTACATCCCATATCACAAGTGTGTCTGCACAACAAACAATATTACCATTACATCCCATATCACAAGTGTGTCTGTACAAAAAACAATATCACCATTACATCCTATATCACAAGTCTGTCTGCACAATAAACAATATCACCATTACATCCTATATCACAAGTCTGTCTGTACAACAAACAATATCACCGTTATATCTTATATCACAAATCTGTCTGCACAACAAACAATATCAGCATTACATCCTATATCACAAATCTTTCTGCACAACAAACAATATCACCATTACATCCCATATCACAAGTCTGTCTGCACAACAAACAATATCACCATTACATCCTATATCACAAGTCTGTCTGTACAACAAACAATATCACCATTATATCTTATATCACAAATCTGTCTGCACAACAAACAATATCAGCATTACATCCTATATCACAAATCTGTCTGCACAACAAACAATATCACCATTACATCCCATATCACAAATCTGTCTGCACAACAAACAATATCAGCATTACATCCTATATCACAAATCTTTCTGCACAACAAACAATATCACCATTACATCCCATATCACAAGTCTGTCTGCACAACAAACAATATCACCATTACATCCTATATCACAAGTCTGTCTGTACAACAAACAATATCACCATTACATCCCATATCACAAGTCTGTCTGTACAACAAACAATATCACCGTTATATCTTATATCACAAATCTGTCTGCACAACAAACAATATCAGCATTACATCCTATATCACAAATCTGTCTGCACAACAAACAATATCACCGTTATATCTTATATCACAAGTCTGTCTGCACAACAAGCAATATCACCGTTATATCTTATGTCACAAGTCTGTCTGCACAACAAACAATATCACCGTTATATCTTATATCACAAGTCTGTCTGCACAACAAACAATATCACCGTTATATCCTATATCACAAGTCTGTCTGCACAACAAACAATATCACCGTTATATCTTATATCACAAATCTGTCTGCACAACAAACAATATCACCATTATATCTTGTATCACAAGTCTGTCTGTACAACAAACAATATCACCATTACATCCTATATCACAAGTCTGTCTGCACAACAAACAAAATCATCATTACATCCCATATCACAAGTCTGTCTGCACAACAAACAATATCATCATTACATCCCATATCACAAGTCTGTCTGTACAACAAACAATATCACCATTACATCCTATGTCACAAGTCTGTCTGCACAACAAACAATATCACCGTTATATCTTATATCACAAATCTGTCTGCACAACAAACAACATCACCGTTATATCTTATATCACAAGTCTGTCTGCACAACAAGCAATATCACCGTTATATCTTATATCACAAGTCTGTCTGCACAACAAACAATATCACCGTTATATCTTATATCACAAGTCTGTCTGCACAACAAACAATATCACCGTTATATCCTATATCACAAGTCTGTCTGTACAACAAACAATATCACCGTTATATCTTATATCACAAATCTGTCTGCACAACAAACAATATCACCATTATATCTTGTATCACAAATCTGTCTGCACAACAAACAATATCAGCATTACATCCTATATCACAAGTCTGTCTGTACAACAAACAATATCACCATTACATCCTATATCACAAGTCTGTCTGCACAACAAACAAAATCATCATTACATCCCATATCACAAGTCTGTCTGCACAACAAACAATATCATCATTACATCCCATATCACAAGTCTGTCTGTACAACAAACAATATCACCATTACATCCCATATCACAAGTCTGTCTGTACAACAAACAATATCACCATTACATCCCATATCACAAGTCTGTCTGTACAACAAACAATATCACCATTATATCTTATATCACAAGTCTGTCTGCACAACAAACAATATCACCGTTATATCTTATATCACAAATCTGTCTGCACAACAAACAATATCACCGTTATATCTTATATCACAAGTCTGTCTGCACAACAAGCAATATCACCGTTATATCTTATGTCACAAGTCTGTCTGCACAACAAACAATATCACCGTTATATCTTATATCACAAGTCTGTCTGCACAACAAACAATATCACCGTTATATCCTATATCACAAGTCTGTCTGCACAACAAACAATATCACCGTTATATCTTATATCACAAATCTGTCTGCACAACAAACAATATCACCATTATATCTTGTATCACAAGTCTGTCTGTACAACAAACAATATCACCATTACATCCTATATCACAAGTCTGTCTGCACAACAAACAAAATCATCATTACATCCCATATCACAAGTCTGTCTGTACAACAAACAATATCATCATTACATCCCATATCACAAGTCTGTCTGTACAACAAACAATATCACCATTACATCCTATGTCACAAGTCTGTCTGCACAACAAACAATATCACCATTATATCTTGTATCATAAGTCTGTCTGTACAACAAACAATATCATCATTACATCCCATATCACAAGTGTGTCTGCACAATAAACAATATCACCATTACATCCCATATCACAAGTGTGTCTGTACAAAAAACAATATCACCATTACATCCTATATCACAAGTCTGTCTGCACAATAAACAATATCACCATTACATCCTATATCACAAGTCTGTCTGCACAACAAACAATATCACCATTACATCCCATATCACAAGTCTGTCTGTACAACAAACAATATCACCGTTATATCTTATATCACAAATCTGTCTGCACAACAAACAATATCAGCATTACATCCTATATCACAAATCTTTCTGCACAACAAACAATATCACCATTACATCCCATATCACAAGTCTGTCTGCACAACAAACAATATCACCATTACATCCTATATCACAAGTCTGTCTGTACAACAAACAATATCACCATTATATCTTATATCACAAATCTGTCTGCACAACAAACAATATCAGCATTACATCCTATATCACAAATCTGTCTGCACAACAAACAATATCACCATTACATCCCATATCACAAATCTGTCTGCACAACAAACAATATCAGCATTACATCCTATATCACAAATCTTTCTGCACAACAAACAATATCACCATTACATCCCATATCACAAGTCTGTCTGCACAACAAACAATATCACCATTACATCCTATATCACAAGTCTGTCTGTACAACAAACAATATCACCATTATATCTTATATCACAAATCTGTCTGCACAACAAACAATATCAGCATTACATCCTATATCACAAATCTGTCTGCACAACAAACAATATCACCGTTATATCTTATATCACAAGTC